AGAGAGAGGAAGAGAGGGAGGAGAGGAGAGAAAAGGTCACATTACTAAGCTTCCATGATCTATAGTTCCTACCCGCTTCAGCTGGCTCATCTGGTTTACCTAACAGAGACACAGTTCGCTGCAGTTCAAAGCCCGAAGACAGAACAATGAGATAATTGAATTTCATGCAGCTTCAATTCTAACCGGTTCCAGTTCCAAGTTTAAGGAAGGGGAGAGTTGTGCCAGCAAGTTCTATAAAGGATCAACATCTGAAACAGATTCAAATCAGAACCACTTATCCAGGATTTTCTATAGATAGGAAGCAAAGAAGGTATAGTATCTCCCTGCCAGAAGATGAAAAATATCATGAGAATATGGCAGGCAGGTTAAATATGGATCTTTATACGTGAGCGTGTTCTATACTCCCTGACCACATATGGTCCAAAGGAGGAGAGGGATAAAGATATCCAGTCCAGACCAGCAGTTCTTCTAATTGCGCTTAGTGTTATGACCTGCACAGGCTAGTTATTCCTTTTCTTTTTCTTTTTTTTTTTTTTTTTTTTTTTTTTTTTTTTTTGGCAGGAAAGCTGTTTGAGAGGGTTTTGCATATAGTTCAGGCTGGGTTTGAACTCACTGTGTGGCCAGATTGGCCTCAGACTTGGAGTGGCCCTCTTTCCTCAGCCTCTGAAGTTCTGGGACTGCAGGCCTGTGACACCAGGTCTTGCCAGCTATGCCTGTTTCAACATTCAAAACTTCTGTTAGTTGCTACAAGGAAAAATGAGCACTGGGGTCGGAGGAAACATTTAGATAGCTTTCTCTTTCTTCAACTTTACATCATTTGAAAAATTTATACTTCATCTGAAGACAAAGGAGTTCAAGAACACAGCATTTGTATTTGTGTGTTGGAAAATTCACAATGTCTTTTTTATGGATTTGTTTACCGTCTTCTTTTTTAACATAATCCTATATCACTAAGAAAGCTTCAAGCATTAAGAGGAACCTATTCTTTTTAATAAATATTAGACCTATGGAATTAAAGCTTTTTTTTCATTCAAGGCCCTAGCTTCTCAGAGGCAAGTAAGAATAAATCACACAAAGTTTGTGAATTTTTTTTTGACATATATCTGTGTGGTTTTCTGTTGACCTGATTGAAGTCTTTCTATAAACTTTTCCTTTATTTTTACCACTTTTGTAAACTGAATTTAATTATTGTGAAAAAAAATGTTAAATAATAACAAACCGCAACAGTATGATATAATGGGTGGAAACCTAAGGGTGTCAGTGCCCTTAATGTAAAGAGTGTTCTTTATAACACTACAATTCAAAATTCTGGCTATAGAAGTAATAGATTCTCTCTGCAGGAAACTTGGTAAGCAATAAGAAAAACAAAAGGAAATTATTTAACTGTCTGGCTTATCATTATTATTATCATATCCTGGCTTCTTTATTCCAGTCCAAAATACTATCACTGATTTAGTAAATACATATTTAGGTCCTTGGCCGCCCAAAACACTGTGGTAAGACACTAAGGAAATTTCTCTAAGGATGAAATGATTCTATCATTTTCGGGCTTATTTTTTAATGGAAGAGAGGAAGGTGTAGTTTTTAAATATTTTTTAAACTTATAATAAGTGATATTCAAGGAAGTCACACACTTGAGGAAGCAGTATTTGGACTTCTGATGAATGGGATTAATAATCAGAAAGGAGAGGTGGGAGATGGCAAGTAAATAGCACAGGAAGAAATTATAAAATGACATATTGTGTTAAGGTTTGCATTAAAATCTTCCCATGTCAGTTTTCTTTTGCAGCAAATGCATTATAATGCATTAATGCATTATATGAATCAATTATATGCAAATTTCTTAAGCGGTTTCCTTTTCATAATATACATGCACAATTAACAAATAATGCTGCACTTCATTTCTTATACTCTCATTAATCCTAGGTATTATCATCCTTTGTGATCCTTGGAAATTTGATAGGCAAAGAAGGAAAAAGCATGTCACTGTTTTTATTTGCTTTTCTTTGACTATTAGTGAGATTCATCATAAGGAGATTTTTTGAATTAAGCAATGATAGGTGCGTTGGTTGTGTTTTTCAGACTGAAATTCCTAAACCAATTCAAAGAGCAGTGGAAAAAGGCTCTGATTTCTGAGATATACTGTTTTACTTTCAGCTCCCTACATTCTTTCTGTGGAAAGGAGGTGCATGGGCACCTGAAAATCCCATATTCAATAGTTGAAGAGATTTTAGAAGGATCAAAAAATTAAGACACTTTTATCTAAATATTATATTTTTAAAATATCTTAATGTCCTTATTGTTATCTAAATTGTATGTCATTTTTAGATTTTAATAAAGATAAGATGTTTAACTAGTTTTAAAAGGATAACTAATTTAAAAATGTCTGCATTCATTTTAAATATTGCTCATACTGTATTTATAAATGTGGCAAACACTGGATTTATTATACATGACTTCTTCTAACAGGACACTTTTTTCTTTTCTTCTTCCTAAGGAAAAACTGGACTACTTCCTGGATTGTTCTTTCTAACCAAAAAATTGAATTTTACAAAGAATCCAAACAACAGGCTCTGCCCAACATGGTAGGTAGATCTCCATTTCTATTGTTACTTTTTTTCTCAAAAACTATTGTTGAATTAAAAGTTTAGTTTCATCAGAAATCACACTAAAGCCTCCATGCTATGAACATCTGAAAGCAGATGGAAGAAACGACTCAATAAACTTTTAATCAGATGAAGGGAAAATAGAACTTAGTGTCTGTTTTATTAAGTGGTGCATTTGGAGAATAATCACAAAATGAGATGAATGGTGAGCAGCTATGTAGTAATGCAGAGGTATCACTTTAAATTAAGGTGCCATTTATAAATGTTTTATTCTTATTTATGAAATAATCACTATATGCAGCTACTTGCTCAAATAATGTATTATAAAGCATGTTATAAAATGCATTAGTAATAAATGCCTAACAGATGTGACTATGGGAAGCTGTTTTAAAGAATATTATAAGACATAAATTGTATTAAACCATGTACGTACATCTTTAATACATGAATTTAAGTTGTTATCTAGCATGCTATAGTGCTTCACACATTAATAAATAATAATAAACTGTTTATAAATGGCACCTTAATGTAGGGTGTAACCAATGAAGAAACACTCTAAGTTAACAAAGTGATTTTTTTATCTTAGTCTGAGACATTCACTATATCAGCTAACCTTGTGGAATATTTCTACGGCTCTATTTAATGGAACTAATACAATTTCTGTATTCTGTCGTTATTGCAAAGTGAAATTTGTAGAATCTCTTCATTGCACCTGGAGGAGGGCTTCACATATGTCTCCAGAGATGTGAGTGTAATAGTCAATAGGAGCAACTCAGAGCTAGTCACTAGACCAATTCAAGCTGAAAACATTCTGTCTGAACATACGAACTTCCCCAAGATGTTGTAGGAGACTGTGAGCAAGCAATGCATCTGACAGCACCCTGATTAGGAAGGACTCCAGGCAGGAACCAACCTGCCATATCCCATCGGCCTGATGGGTGACAGGAAAGGGGGTCATCTGACAGGGGCGAACCACAGTGAATTTATATTTGCAAGGTTATAAAACGATGAGAAGTTCTTTGCTCTCCAGCCTCTAGTTATGTGTGCTATGTAATCCTCTGCAAATAGAAAATACAAAATCATTTGCTAAGAGATGTTTTTAAAGAAGATTTTAGTGAGAACAAAAGGTAGCATTTGGCTTGCTACTGATAATTGCAATAGCGTTTATCCCCAAGTGGCTTGCTGATTTTGGAGTCTTGGTGTGGTCCAATTTGTAAACTAATTATGAATAAATTAAAAATATATTTTAGTCTTTTGTATTTTCAAACTGCCTCAGAAATTTGTTTTAGGGTTTTGTTTTGTTTTCATTTTTTGGCTACAGTAAGGTTGAGATAATCTTTTTAAGAAAAGGAAAATACCCCTAAGGGCCAAGCACAAAACGACTCCCATCCACTTGCAGGGCCATTGTTTTCCCTTTGAATGCTTTCTAAGGGGAAGTCAGGAAGGGAGGAAAGCCACTTGCCTCACTGGGTTTGGCTGCTGGGAAGATGATCTCCATCCTGCTGAGTGAAAAGAATTCCATTGGTGCAGAGTTTATGTGAATGTGCTGGGATAATGGGAGATATTAGATTCCCTATTAAAGCATTTGGTTTACTTTTATTTTATTATTTTAATCTCTTCATACCAGGAGATATAATTCTCAGCTGTTTAATTATATACAGGTGAAAGGAAACTTGCTTCTGGACTGTAGGCAAATCTTACAACTTAGCTCTCTAATACTACACCTTGATTTCAACCTTCAGAATTGTTATAAATTGACCCTAGATTTGACTTGTAAAAGAAATTCATTAAGATTTTTTTGGCAGTCCCTATTTATTACTTCTGGCCCGGTTTTCAATGCTCTTATGGTTTCTACCAGGCACTCATTGTCTTCAAAGTGAATTCAGGGCAGGAACTAACTGTTTTGTGGTAATGGGAAGGAGAATTATAGATTCATGCTTGTAGTGCATGAATTGTGGTGCTAGTCAATGTCTTGGATTCATTTCTAACCAAGTATTAAAGGCCTAGTGGGATAGCCTGCATTTACCAATTCGAGCCTCAAAGAAACGATATGATGATTGTCAGGCCTTGATTAAAGATGCTGTGGTTTTATTTTAAAAAGGATTTATGTTCACATTTCTGAATGTCCCATGTACCCCCTTAGATATGTTCTAGCATTCATTGTACTTCTGGGAAAAAGCCTGTCCTTTCCTCTGAGGGATCAGTAGAAGCCGCTTGAGTGATTGCAAAACGTGGTTCAAAGAGCAAATAGTATTTTAATCTGTACAGAATGATCTTTGAATGTTAATGCACTGGTGAGACAAAGCCAGAAAGTAGCTGAGAGCCCACTTGGAAGTTGGACAGCAGGGATGTAGTTCTATTTTGTCACTTCATAGCTGGCAAAGTTATTCAGTTTCTTTAAGCTTCAGTTCCTCACCTTTAAGAGGAAGGTAGTGTTGTCTGTCAACAGAATTAGTGACTGATGAATGAAAATAGTAAAACAAATTTCTGCAAAACAATCAATGATTATCATGTTACTAAAATACATAAATCTATAATCTACATTGCAAAATGTAGAATAATTAAAACATTATTGCATTATATTACTTTGAAATGATTCAGACATTTATAATAATGAGATTTTATTAATTAAAGGAACATTATCACTCAGAGTTTCAAAAAGAGAAATATGTATCCATGGGTGGCATAAAATCTTGTGTCCAGCACTGAGTGATACTGCAGTTTGTAGCAAGGCATCCATTTGGGTCTCTAGGTGAAACCTTCTGTGTGGAACACGTTCTCTGTGAGCCTCCAACTGTTTCCATTGGCTCTCACTCTTAACACCTTGATATTTGATACAGTGTGTCGCAGAATATCAGGCCTGATCCCACATTCTTTGTTTGATTACCTTTCTTTCTCACTACAGTTCTTTGAGTACATATCGGTCTTATTTACTTAGGGCTGTTGTAACAGCCCTGGGGTCCTAAAAAACAGACATTTCCTTTTGTCAGCTCTGGCTAGCAAGTCTGAGGCACTGAGAAACCTGGTGTCTGGTGAAACTGAATTTTCTGGTATGCACCCGACTATTTTCTTGTAACCTCACATGGTAGACAAAAAAGAGAGAGCCAGCCCTGTTGTCTCTTCACTGTTCCCATAATGAGGGATCCACTTCCATGATTTAATCACCTCCCCAAAACCTCACCTCCTGATATCATGACCTTGAGGTTTACGATTCAGCGTGAGAATTCTAAGGGACTGGAAGCACGGAATCCACAACAATATCCAAGCCACATTTTATTAAAAGAACCCTTCCCCTGAAAATAGGCATGTAACGCACCTCACTGTTTTGTGAAGACTAGCGATTCACAGGGTCTGGGTCCTCTGTGGCCTGTTAAAGGAAAAGGAAGACAAAGCTATTCTGTTGGTTTGTTTGTTTTAAAATAAAGCTATTATGTGCTGGGGATTTAGCTCAGTGGTTCTGGTGACTGCCTTGCAAGCGCAAGGACCTGAGTTCAATCCCTGGTACCAATAAATAAATGAATGAATAAATAAATAAATAACATTTAAAAAATAAAATGAAGACATTAAAGAGAAACAAACTACCCGCTACCCTTATCACCTTATAAAAGAAGTTATAAAATACCACAATCTGAAAATCTAGAAAGAATAAATTCTCAGAAGAAAAGGTAGTCTTTACAAAGAAAGGAAACTATCCCCCTTATAAGTCTACCTACATAGTCCTTAGTTTGTTCAATTTATTCAGACCAAAATAAGCTTGGTCCATGTGCTTCCAGATGGATATTTTCTGGACCACAAAGAAAAATATACAGTTCACATTCTCATAATTTAAAAAAGTCTATATATTCTGATGCATACATTTTAAAGTAGTTATTGTAAAATAATGCAGAACCAATTTTTGGTAAATACAGAAGGCTTCTTTCTTTCTTCTTTGGAGTCAGCATATTTCTTGTGTTGCCCAAGCTGGTCTTGGACTCTTGCTTGGGTTTTAAGAGATCTTTCTGCAAACTCCGCATGTGTCACCGCACCAGGGTCCATCAATGTGCTTTTTAACGGTTGTTATCAATCGTCTACAAAAGCACTGATGAGGTCAAGGAATTACAACCTTCTAGAAGCTCAACTCTGTCATTTGTCTCAATTGTCATCACAGCCTTTTCCCTTTTCCCTGCTCTGTAGTTAGCCATTAACTTGACTTTGGGTCATGATTTTATTCATTTTTATTGCGATTTTCCAACCTCTATCTATATCCCTTAAAATGTAATTTAGTTTTATAATAAATTTTTTAACCTGAAGCAGAATATCTTTTGCTGTTGTTTTTGCTACCTTCACTAAGTATGGTTTGGCCTTTCCCTTTAAATGTTTATCATTCCATTTTATTCCCTATCAGTTTGTGAGTGATATGTTTGGTTTCTGTTTTATTAGTAGATAGCCTAAGATTACAACATTGATACCTATCAAGGACTAAAGCTAGCCAGATTGTTTACCCCTATCCTGAGATATTATCTTAGAACATTTTTAAACCATTCATGTGTAATATACAAAACTGCTTTCTCTCATTGTAATTCTTTTTCTCCACTCCATGAGACATTAGTCATTTTTCCTTATAGAATTGATGTTGGTCTACATTTACCAAATACTGGCAGTGTTCTTTGCTGTTAATGCCTTCCTAAATGTTAGGCTTGCTTTCTAGGGTCACTTTTCCTTTGGCTTGCAGTGAATTTTGAAAAGTTCCTGTATTAAAGGCCTTATGGTGAGATGCTATCTCACTGTCTGCTTATTGAAATACTCTATTAGTCTTCACTCTTGAAATACATATTCTCTTTAGAGACAGAACTTTGAGTTGACATTTTCTTTCAATACATCAAAGATATCACTGTATTGCTTTCTGACTTCTATTATCACAATCAAAAACTCACCTGTTAGTATAGCTGCTATTCCATAGTTGCTCTTAATATTTTTCTCATTACCTATGTTTTTCCATA